TCTGCCTTCTCCTCCTGCAGGTCCTTATCTCTGTCTATGACTGCGGCCTACTGTGCTGTCTGCGCCAACCGCACGCTGTCACACAGACAGGAATAGGACGTACTCGTACTGCACATGCAGCTTCCACCTGCCTACTCCAAGCCAAAATCAGCCACCCCAAGTACTGTCCTAGTAGGATGTATGAAACCCACATACAGTCCAATGCTATCTTAATTGCACTCAACTATGTTTTCTGTTTTCCTGCGGTGCCATCTTGAATTCGGGCCTGCGCTTCCCGAATAATCACAGCTGGAGCCCTGATCTGTACAGCGCTGTAGACTATATGATGAAGCCTCCTGGGGTATCAGTCCAGGATATTCTGGGGGCTGCCTCATCCCCGTCTAGGTGAGGAATAAAGCATTAGAAGGGTACACCAACAAAAATGAGGTATTTAATAAACAAAAACAGCAGCAATGTGTACAAGCAGGGCTGGTGCTGCCACGAGGCAAACTAGGCAGGCGTCTAGGGCGCAGCCTTGACCACTCACCCCCCTTACGGTGTCCCCCCGTCTATTTCAAATTGCAAAAGCCAATAGCAGGCTGGCTATTGCACCCGCCCACTAAGCAGAAGAGCGGAACTTAGAGACACCTTTCTCTCTCAGGTTCCCTCCTCTGCTCAGTGGGCGAGGTTTCAATAGCCAGTCTGCTATGGGCTATTTCAAATTAAAATAGCCCATAGCAGCCTGGCTATTGCTCCCGGCTGCTTACATCCACCTGTCGCCTGCGGAAGCTAGCCAGCAGGAGAATGGAGCCGTGCCAGGGGGGCATTGTGGGTTATGCCACGGGAGGGGGGCTGGGGAAGTGCAAGTAGCTGGTCTTGGCTAGGGTGCAAAATAGTCTAGCACCGGCCCTGTGTACAAGGTAGTGGGTAGGAAACATGAGAGAGGGTTTAAAATGTTGCAGAAGGTGCGCTTTCAGGGGCGACATCTTATTCAAGTCTGTGGGATGTTGGTACCCAGGCAGGGGCAACCTGTCCCTTGATTTTTACTGGCTAGGCTGCAGACGCAGCACAAAGGCCGCAGCATTCAGAGAAGGTAAGTCAGGACCTACGGTTCATAGTTTAGCGAGCTTAGGGTAGTTTAACTTGTCCTTTGAACTCAAATCGTAAGTGCCGGCTGTTACTTTGAACAAGGTGGTAGCACTCCTTGAAATGAAAAGCTTGCTAGCACCTTATTTAAAACAGGGCTGGACAAATCATAGGAGCCAGGTAGCCAATGCTCCTTAAAAAACGACAGCTGGCTCAGGTACCTAATGCTCTTTAACAATGACAGTTGGCTCCTCGCCTCTCTAGCTGTTGTCAGTGGAGCTGGCTCCTACATAAAATCCTGCCGGCTCCTGGATTGGACAGACTGGCTCCATTATGATCTGTGTTTAGCACCCTGGAGCCGAAGGTTGCGTCAAAGGCTTCGAAAATAGTTGCCCGAAGCTTGCCGAAAGCTCTGCTCTTATACAAGCCGAAGCCGGTGTGTACATGACCGTACTGAGCTACTCTTTCACAGTGCACATGCTGAGAGTAGTTGCCCGAAGCTTGTAGAAAGCTCTGCTCTTATGCAAGCTGAAGCTTGTGTGTACATGGCCATACTAAGCTACTCTTTCACAGTGCGCATGCTGAGAGTAGTTGCCCGAAGCTTGCCGAAAGCTCTGCTCTTATGGAAGCCGGAGTGTACATGGCCGTACTGAGCTACTCTTTCACAGTGCACATGCTGAGAGTAGTTGCCCGAAGCTTGTAGAAAGCTCTGCTCTTATGCAAGCTGAAGCCGGTGTGTACATGGCCATACTAAGCTACTCTTTCACAGTGCGCATGCTGAGAGTAGTTGCCTGAAGCTTGCCGAAAGCTCTGCTCTTATGGAAGCCGAAGCCGGTGTGTACATGACCGTACTGAGCTACTCTTTCACAGTGCGCATGCTGAGAGTAGTTGCCCGAAGCTTGTAGAAAGCTCTGCTCTTATACAAGCTGAGGCTGGTGTGTACATGGCCATACTAAGCTACTCTTTCACAGTGCGCATGCTGAGAGTAGTTGCCCGAAGCTTGCCGAAAGCTCTGCTCTTATGGAAGCCGAAGCCGGTGTGTACATGACCGTACTGAGCTACTCTTTCACAGTGCGCATGCTGAGAGTAGTTGCCCGAAGCTTGTAGAAAGCTCTGCTCTTATGCAAGCCGAAGCCGGTGTGTACATGACCGTACTGAGCTACTCTTTCACAGTGCGCATGCTGAGAGTTTGCTTCAAGAAGGGCATGTGAGCCACCTGTCTGGCCAGCCAAAAGCGATCTTTGTTTACACCCCCCATACTGCCCCTCATGGGACCATCCCTCTTGTTAACCTCCCTGCTGTCTCCTTCCATGTAGTTCTCTGGAAGCTGTCTGTCTCCCTCTGGCACAATAGTGTGTACACTGGCTCGCTGTGTGTGCGTGTATTTATAGAAAGAGAGGCGATTACACAGGAACTTGGAAAGCCATCCTGCTAGATTGCGTAGTACTCTGCGATACAGCTCTCAGCATTTTAGAATCTGTACTGCCAGCGCTGTAAATATTTCCCGACACACGTCCATACATAATGGCTAACAGATGCACACCCTTGGTCCTGAGGATACCTTGTTGGGGTTTCTTCTTTT